CCCATCTACCTTCTTGAGGTCCCGTGGCACTGACTGAGAAGTTCATCTGTCCTACCACCTAAGAAAATTGGTCCTCAAGCTTGATAGGTTTATCTCCTACCTCAACCAACCTTTGATCGGCATCTCTATCCTTCAAGTTCATAAACTCTTGCCATTCATCTTAGCTTCTTCCACAATTTGCCTCTCCAACTTCCTTTCCTTTTTAAACTTCCAAGCATTCCTTGTCTTCCAAAGTGCCCACAACAGGTGAATTGACAGACAAATTCTCTCTTCAAGCTAAAAACCTGTTGTTGCTGAACACACTTCTCCCCACCATGATCTGAAATCCTTTGACTCTCCTTCCAGTGAAGTCCAACTCACTCCAAGCAATTTCCATCACATCTTAGCCTTTGGACATCTGAAGAAAATATGATTTTGATCTTCTTCTTCCTCCCAACAGGCATCACATATAACATCAGATATGATCCCTTTCTTGCCTACTTGAGTATTTGTACTGAGAAAATCATGCGAACACCTCCAGACAAAGTTTTTCAGCTTCTGTTTAATTGGTAGTTGCCATGATTTGAGCCACAATTTGTTCCTGAACATGTTAGAAGATTTAGCATTACAACTTTTTCCAGTTTTATCAAGGTAGCTCAACAACATATGATAAGCCGATTTGACAGTAAACTTCTCAGATTTTTCCCAATGCCACACTAATTTATCACTCATCCCAACCTGACTCAAAGGCATATTAACTATGAAAGAGGCTTCTCTAGGGGTAAAAGTTTTAAACACTAATTCCCTGTCCCACTCAATCCCATTTTCTCCCATCAGCTCACTCACCCACTTAAGACGTACCTTATCTCTAATAAAACTAATCCCAGGTATGAAATTAGTATTACAGGTAACCAAGGATCATCCCAAATAGAAGTATTCCTCCCATTCCTCACTTGCACTCTGAGACCTAAGTTTAATCCCTCTCTAACCCCTAACCAACTCCTCCACAACCAAGAATCACCATTCCTAGCACTCACCTCTCTCATTTGTTTTTGGTGTAAGTACCTCCCCTTCATAACCCTGCTCATCAGAAGATTGGGATTAGTGAGGATCCTCCAGAACTGTTTCATAATCAACGAATCATTAAACACTCTCAGGTTTTTAAATCCTAACCCCCTGCTCTTTAGGCCTAGCTAAGAAGCCTAATTAATCCTATTCCCCCTTTATTATTTCCCTCACCAAAAGTTAGCAATACTTTTGCAAATATCCTTACAAATGGCCACAGGAACTTTGAAACAGGACATAACATAAGTGGGAATAGCATTGATAACAGATTTGATAAGAACTTCTTTTCCAGCTTCACTCAAGAATGCATTTTTCCAATTTTGAAGTTTTTTACTCATAGCCTCACTCACATATCTGGAAACCTCTTTTTTAGTTCTCCCTATACCTAGAGGAAGTCCTAGATACCTAGAGGATGAGACCCAGGATATACCATTCAAGATATGGCTAACCTCAAGTCTAACCTTCTCTGAGGAGTTTTTAGAGAAGAAAGCAGAAGATTTTTCCAGATTTACCATTTGCCCAGAGGATAGCTCATAGTTTTCCAGAATGTTTAGAATAGTCCTAGAATTATCAGTTTTGGCTTTACAGAAAAGGATGAAATCATCTGCAAAAAAAGAGATGGGTTATACTAGGAGTGTGTTTAGAGATTTTCAGGCCAGAGAACTCTTTCACCTGATTAGCACAATTGATTTGGTGAGAGAAAGCTTCAGAAAGAATCAGGAAAAGCTAGGGGGACAAAGGATCCCCTTATCTTAATCCCCTAGTAGGAGTACAGAAACCCCCCACCTTCCCGTTAAGATTAACAGAGAATGAAGTAGAGCAAATACAAGCAAGTAACCAAGAGACAAAAATATAATAAAAGCCCATTTTCAGACCCAAAGCATTGCAAATGCTCCTGCAGATCTGGTCTCCTTACATTGAAGTTAATTTTGTTAATTTTATATAATTTTTGTCCATGTCATCCAAAACATAGATCTATTCACATGACACGTAAGAGCACCCACAATGCTTTTGGTCTCTTACAAAAATATCATATGTCGTGTAGGAAATAGACTTAGTCTATTAAAAAATATATTTAATGCAATTAATAGTAGCTAGGTCTAGCTTATGTGGCAATCAAAAAACGAGACCAAGTCTACACTTGGGTCTATTTTGGACCCAAGTACAAACCTGGGCAATCAACATTTATTCTTAATTTAATTTTTTCTCTTAATATAGAAAATATTTTAGAACATTTTTATTGGTTGACAAATATTCTAGACCTAATATTTTATTTTTGCACTGGATGACTTTTGGATTTTTTTACTTGGGTTTGTCCATGTCATTTAGGACTTAAGTCCATTTATATGCCACATATTAAAATTGAACTCAATGTCTTGTGGATGCTCTAAGGTCAATTAGACCCAAAGCATTGTAGATGGTAATTTTTCAAATAAGTCCGTTGAAAATTCTATTTTTAGTTATCTTATCAACTAATTTTACCAAATAAGTTTACCATTTCAGCTAACTTTTCAGCCATTACTCATAACCAATCAACTATAAGCTCGAAATTCATTTATAAACTACAAATTAACTTATCAATAGCAAACTTATTAACTAACTTATCAGCTACCAGTCAGCTTACCTTATCAAGTAGATTTAACAGCCATAGCCCAACTGCATCTTTCTGATGAATCAGTTATCCCATACTGGGACCGAATTACATGAGTATGATAACTTTGAAGTCTTTTTCATTAGTTAAAATAAATATCATTCCTTCTTATTATATTTATTATATATAATTATTTCTTGTTTCTTTCTTACTACTGAATTATTATTGTTTTTAGTGGAAAGATTTTTGACATGCAGCACATGGCACTATTAGCATTATAATGCAATTACAAACACCAGTGATTTCAAAGCAGCAAACTATGTAATTACCAAATGAGGCAAGCTACCTGGATCAAACAACAGCACCCTCAACCAATAGAAGCTCACATGATTTCTGATTCAAACAAAGAATAGCTGCTACTCATATCTTTATTGTATGCAATAGTTGTTAGTTGTATGTTTGTTGATACATTGTCCAAAACATTTAACAAAAGAAGCTAACAGATGAATAACAACACACTCTCTACACTTTAAATTCACAGTTTCACAGAACACCATCCTCGACAGAAAAACTTCCCAAAAACACCATTCTTCGAGGGCTCTCTATCATTAATCTCACCTACTCAAAACCCCAATCACAGCTGTTTCGTTTTTCACCTGAAGCAAGCCGTCAAAGAAATTTTTATAAAAGATAATTACAAAAAGAAATATCTGATCCTAGCTAAGCTAAGCTGATTAAGCCAAGCATTCAAATGCCACTAGATATGATGGTACATATTTTAAGAGGATAAATCCAACTTGAATAGAATATTGACGACTCGGAAATAGAACTTCTGGCCAACATTTGGCTACGTAAAAAATTTGAAGATTGAGATTTGAATAAGTCTCATCAAACAAACTACCTTAGTCACAATCGTAAGCCACGATAGCATCACAGATTACAAAATGCTCAGCGAGTTCAATCAATAAAATGTTAGTAGCATATGAAAGAAATTTAGAAGCGAAGTTTGAGTTCAATGCCACAACAGTTACACTTGGAGGCTTTTCAAGGCGACAGGCGGCCGGGTACCACATATGAGACAAGGAGAATGAAAAGTACCTTTGTGAAATTATCTCCCCATTAATGAGTTGCTAGTATCAAATATCTCTACCTCACACTTATATTATCTTTCATACTTCAACTGCCGTCTAGAAACAAGTGATATAAGGTATAATATTTATCAGTATTTGTTAAAATTACTAAAACAAGTTCTTTCCAGTACAAAGAACACAAGATTATGGGGGTGTGCATATTTGTAAAAATAGCCTAAAAAGCCCTTTCGGGTACATGAAAACTTCTACACGATGCTTCGACTTTAATCAATGATACTGTATCTGAACTTCCAGTTGATCCTACTTTCACCCTCATACATTACCCGGCAATAGAACTGCATTTCCCTAAAGCAGAGTGACAAATGCTAACCAATTGAAATAAACTGAGTTATTATTTTTTTTTTTCTTGATAGAATCAATTAGACACATATTAACCAAAACCTTGCATTTCTATGGTATTTCCTCTGAGTGAGTCACTCATGCCAATTTCGAGAACATCTAAAATTTGACTAGAATAAGGATTACTACCCAAATGGGGTGCATCTGGTAATCCCCATTCCATGCAATTGGCCGCAAACCTCACTAGAGGAAAAGGTTAAGCATTAAAAAGGCCATGTTTTGGTACTTTATTCTCAATTCTTAATGAGAATTGAAGCATTTCCAGATCCCAGATTTCTGAGATTTATTTCACAGCACCTAGTTTATTGTTTGTTCTGTTCACATTTACAATTTTGTGTTATCATAACATAAGCTGAAAATGAAGCTCCCTTGTCTGTCATTGTGTGATCTATAATACTTTGTAATATTGATATACAACACAGGACTTAAATCAGATTACTTATTTCTATTTTCCATCAAAGCAATCAGGAAACTCGTTAATTAAGATGCACACACAGGTTAATATTGGCTTAAGCATGCATGAGGAAGTTGAAATGCATATTAGAAGTTACCTCACCAACTAAATATTCAGCATAATTGAAAGCACTATCCTTTAAGCATGGGTAACAAATAAGACTGCGTAAATTTTACTTGCTTCAAAGACAAAGGAAATGATATGACAAAGAAGAGATTTTGTCGAATTCAAAGTAACCCAGTTGGATGTCAATTATGTAAGAAATGTTTATCATCTTAGTATGTTACACATTTCACTATGATCTAGTGTTTACCTTTTTAATAGAAAATCAGATTTTCATATTTTAATGTATTGCATTTAAGTAAATGGAAAAAGGACTTACTACCTATAGCAAAATCGACTCGCTGGTATTTGCAAGTAGTCAACGTGCCTTTTCATTTTCCTTCCTCTTTTTTCTCCTAGAGTATGTCATGATAGTTTTGACACCATCAACATCTCTTTCCTTCTGATTACCCACATTTGCTGATTCAAGCTTAGCCTCACTTACAGCCTCTGAAACTTGTTCCTCAGCTGCTTCGGCATCTGCAATCATCTTTAGAAGTTCCAACGGGAGAGCAGCAGGATCCAATTCATAGCAATCCTTAGGCAAATTTTCAGCTTCAAGCCCACTCAGAATGTAGAAAGGGACCTGATGAGAGAATCTAAACATCTCTTCCCTAGGGATCATGTGGGTCTCTCTCTTGTCTAAGTTAAACACAGACGTGAAGCCACCCACTTTAACTAGACGAGCCACCACAACACCTCCATTTTCACTGCATTCTTCGAGTACAACTACCACATCATATTTATGTATGATTTCATCTTTGATGTCCTGATCAACCCAATCAGGGGACCAGTTCCTGTACACTGCCCAAACATCGCCTTTTGTTGGAAAAACCTGAATTACTCCTCGTGGCCCTTTCTTCCACTTAACAGGATGAGAGAACGAATTTAACCTTTTATTCACTTCACATTTACCAGCCCTATAATCTCCAGAAGTCTTTGTGAAGCCAGAGCCTATCCAGTCAAGGGATCCAAATTCAGAACAGGATCGAGAGTTGAGCCAGCTGATTTGCATTTTAAACGGCTTCCTGGATAGCACACGCTGAACCAAAGCATAATAACGTGGCATGCCATCGTCATTATCATAAGCAGCCCACACCTGGTTCTCAGAGAAAGAATCTTCAATTCTGTCATCATCAAAATTGTGAAAATTTGCATCTGGCACCATCATAGACACAGTTTCATCAGGATTTGTATCCATGTCATCAGGTTCATCCAAGGAAGGCGACTTCTCCGTCTGCACTGTATTTTTAGGATCCTTGAATAAGTCATCACCACTTTTTTCAGCCTTGACATGATTAAAAGCATCCTTTGTCTGCTCATCCTTCACACATGAAGCCTTAGGTTCTTCAGCCTCCCATTCACTTAACAGGCCTCGAATCTCCATCCTCGCCTTCCTCGCCAGCATAGCACGAATCTCAGCCTGAGATAATTCCTTCACACTTTTTGACTCCCAGTTAGCTTCAAAATTTCTATTCAATTTTGCAGATGCCTTCTTAGCCCCTGGCCTTCTACCTGGTGCCTCGTCTCCGGCACTATCAAGGTCCTTACGCCTCTTCTTTACAATCTTCTCTCTCTTTTTCATACCATTGACATCATTATAAGTTGTTTCTTCTTTCATCTGTTCTGGGATAACTCTGTTATTCTTCATCGAGACACCGTAAGCTCTCTTTGTCTTTTCTGTCATTTCAGGCCCATTTCTTTTGGGACGCCTGTTATCGGATGCTGGCTTAGCTGTGGAAGCTCGTGGTCCCCCAAACACGGAAGTATAATTCACCTTTGGACGAGCCATCTCTGTCGCTGAAAAGGGCATCCGACAATGGAGACACAGAATGTTCTGATTCATATAGTTTATTCCAAATTCAAAATACGAACAGCACCTTTTGCACATCGTCCAGAATGTCTCGGGACATTGTGGATGAGGTTTGACCGGTTGCCTCGTATAAGTATCTTGTTGTTGATGAAAGTGTGGGATTGAAGGGGGAACAAAATGCCCAGTCGTGCCCGATGGAGAATGTTGATAACTGGGAACTGGACGGGCGTTTCTGGAGATAGTTGGATTGGGCTTCGGAACCTGTGCACGGTTGGCGCCATATGTCGCATTTCGTGGAGTAGAACTGTACCATTGACTGGTGGAAGTTCCTTGTTTTGTTGGTCGATCGGAAAAGCCAAATGAATTGGCAGGGCTCGCATACATAGCACTTGATGAAGAGAAGATGCCAGCTGCGTGATTTGCAGCTCTTATATTGAGCTTTGAGTTGTATACAGTTCTTTGGTTACTGTCTGAGAGAACACTCCATGCTTGCGACAATATCTTGAAAGCTCCATCTGCCCCAACAGACTTGTTTTTGTCGGGATGAAGAGAGAGAGCCATTCTTTTATATTGCTTCTTCAGAACTTCTTCATTGGCTAAAGCATCCACCCCAAAAATCCCATAATAATCCAACTCCCCATTTATTTTCCTCTCATAGGCAGCATAAACATCAATAATCTCAAGGAACTGAGATAAGCCTTCAAGTTTTGGATACAGGTTTTGTGCCTTTAGAGCGAACTTCTTTGCTCCTGAGATATCTTTCTCTAATAGCTTTTGCTCAGCTACTTGCTTAGCCCTTACAGCTTCGTCTTTATTACACTCCATTTTCGCATAGTACCAGTCATAAAATGCTGTGGACCTAGTAAACCAGGCAAATTATGTTTTTAAGAACAGGGTTTAACTGAAGCATTAACTGATGACATTAGACGACTACACAATATAGATGTGCCTCAAAAGTAGTGTGAATATGAATACAACATGCTTGTGTAGATGTGTTTGTGTACAAGGTAACCTTGCAGCAGTAAACTAAAAGTTTCCATTCAAAGACATGCAAAAGAAACGTTTTCTTCGACCATGGTAGATCAAAACGAAAATCAATTTGATTTAAAATATGCGACTTATCTCATGGGCACTTTTCTGGGGACATAACTGGATACCAAAATCAGTTCTGTTCGTTACCCTTCTTATATATTACTGCATAAATAGTTAAACTAACTGGAAATATAACCTATCATGTCTCCTAGGCCGAGTGGAATATGCCACTAAACATTAATTATCTTCACTCTTCAGCTTTTGTTGTTTATTCTACAAAGGAAAAGAAGAAAAACAGAATCCTAATAAGAACTTCCATGATACTGGTTACTGTTACACCACGTGCATTTTGGAAGCTATTTTTTCAGCACGGATGAGATAAGTCCAAGACTACAAGCAAGCATCCACGTAAAGAATAACATTACCTCACATATGGGATGTAAACATCAAGATTTGTCAAAAACAAAAACATGTTGAGAAACGAAAGAAATGACCAACTACTATTGTTACTAAAAGAGTTTCATCGGATCCTAAAAATTTAGCAGCAAAACCCCGAACATTGAATAATATCAGTAATACCAACTACAATTCAGAAACATCAAGCTTAGTCAATGAAGGCCCAACTCAAACTATCCAAACCAGCTATACAGCAATACCAACTACAATTCAGAAACATCGTGTGATTGGAAAATACGTTGCAGTCACTTGATAATAGGATATTACAAATACCCTTCCTTTTTCATTGTTAAGAGAAAAGTGACCGAATCACATAACAACACCAGTAGAGATATTCAAAACAGTTGACAGTCCCAGCATCATGCAGTTCACAGCCCAATGAAAGGTGAATTTGCATTAATTGCTCACATCATATACCTTAATACCAACCAGTCCTCTGATTTTCACTCAATCCAGAAACTTGTTTTTGAACTAATTGTTACAATCAGTGACGACAGAAAATTACATAACCACTTCGTACCCACCACAAATAAACAAAAATAATCGATATATACAGCAAAATTCTACTAAATCTTACAAACCATCAAGAGGATTCAGGTTTTAATCACTTTCTGGGCAGAAAAATAAACGGTTAAAGGCCGATAACTGATCTGTAACGAAACAAGTACGAAGAGGAACATATTTTATTACAACTCAGGCAAGAATACACTAATAAACTACGAGAAATCGGTCCGAAACCCTGCTCTAGTTGACTAAAAACTCATTAGCCATGTCCAGAATCTACATGCAAGCTCACCAAAGAACATCAATTTAACTGAAACCCTGATTTCACAAATCATCAACCACACATGCAAATCATATGAACGAGTAAACACGATCCATATGCAGGTTACTTCATGAAACAACCAACAACGACGTTTCAAACCCCAAAACATCCATTCATGCAGAAAGCAGAGCGATACACATAAAATACCTCGTTTTAGACGAAATCAGGTTCTACGAGGCGCTGCGATGAATGCGAAACAGAGAGAACAAAGTAAAATGTATCCACTTTTCATGGGTTTTTTTTTGAGTACTCCGATGAAGACAGATTGCATCGATGGGGACGGGCTTCAACAATTAATTTAACAAAAAAAGAAGAAAAAAAAAACCTGAAATGAAAGATTTTCTGACGAAAAAAGATGAAAAAAAAACGATGGGAAGACGAAGGGGTTTGTACGAAAAAACATGAACCGGCGTTTTCATGGGCAAAGGTTTGGAGGTACCGTACTAGTGAGTTTAAACCCTAACCATGGTTAAATTTTAACCCTGATGTATGTAATTTACTGAGGAGAATTTGAATCTAAAATGTTTCATAGTTGCTGTCCTGAATTTAAGGAAACTATTGAAACCTTATTGTGTTTTCGTGATTTACGCGACTCGAGCAATTGTTGTTGTTAGTTTTGATGGATTTTTTATGCACATAAATGTCACTTCATTAATTTCATGTCAAATGTTTTTTTTTTCCTCAAAGTGCAATTAAATCACTTCTCCATTGAATTTACAGACACGGTGAATTCGAACTTTAGATCTCCTTCCGCTTACGCATCTATAATTATATTAAAAGAATAACATTTTTTTAACTTGCCGCCAAAACAATAAATGCGTGTTGTTTTATGATTTTCGCTCCATATATGTTTTTTATTTCCTTATTTTTTGCTAATCAAAACTGCCGCCAAAATAGCTGATTTATTATAAGAATGAACGGCATTTTTAAAATAGCTGATTTATTGGACAATCAGTTCAGTTTTTCTTTATAGATAGTTTTTTGATAGTTATCCAAAATAGCTGATTTATTATAAGAATGAACGGCATTTTTAAAATAGCTGATTTATTGGACAATCAGTTCAGTTTTTCTTTATAGATAGTTTTTTGATAGTTATCATTTCCTTAATTATTGGATGGGATTTGTTTGGGATTTATTTATCTCAATATTAAACCCGTAAATCATTCTTTAATTCAGGGTAGATTTTTTTCGTTTTTAAAATCCCGATTTTCAGCTTTTTTATTTTACACGCGTTTTTTTTTTTTTTTGGTTGGGAGGAGATAAGATTTGTTAAATAAAATAATACAGTATTACAAAAAATATTCTAGCCCCCTATATAAAAGAGTGCATTCCTTTACAATTGCTTCTTCAATTCTCTTTGGAAATCATCCTGCAAAAACACATAAATACACGTGATTAAAATAAAGAAAAAAAAATGCGACGAGTGTTTGACAGACTTCACGCGGTTACTAGGGTGAACAGGCCTTTTTTGAAATTAAAAGCAGTTCTAATTGTTGATACCAATTACGAATTGGAGACAAAGAATTTCTGTGCTATCATATTTGAAGATCAAGAGGTACTTTTTCCTATCCTATATGTATAAATTACACTCTTGTGAATTTAATGAATTTACTTTTTTCAAATTCATATTGTAGGGTGCACAAATAAGTGGATTGATACGTTACAAACAGTTAAGCTTATTCCAACATATCTTTAAAGAAGGCGACGTGTATTGTATCGCCAACTATGGATTGAAACCCAATAATCGGCGGGAAAGGGCAACCCCACACGATTGGAAGATTGTTTTTATGAGTATTACACGCGTGATGAAATGAAATGAAAGTTTTCCATGATGCTCTATAATTTTTTAATATTAGATCCATAATAAAAGTTTTATTGTAATTTTCTTATAATTATGTGATAATAAAATTGTTTGAAGGTCATTAATAAATTCCTTTTTTTATACCATGTCAATTGTTATTATTTTAATTTTGTATTAAAAAATTAATGAATTTATTCGATTCTAATTGTTGTTCATGTATTATTCGATTTTCCTCACAAATCAATATTAAACGCACTTATATTGTGGTCTGCAATTAACGCACGTATAAATTATATTTATTTATAGAATATTAAGACATTTTTTGCATTTGTAATTCGAACATTTATTTAAAACAAATCAGACTTAATTGCACACGGGTCCCATAGAAACTTCAACTTTTTTTTTTCGTTATTTAAATACAATAGTCCATACTTATTTATAACAATTCCACTTAATTTGAATTCTCCAAAAGAGAATCCATACATATCCAAATTAAGTCACGTAACTAAAAAATACTCATCAAATTTAATTTAAACAAGGTAAAATAATATTGCCTCTTAACAATTTTGGAGATCGAAATTCTTAATAAAAAACACATCAAAAATCAATTTTGATGAAATCCAAATTCTTAACAATCCATTCATCTGTTTTTTATACGTTATTAAATAAAACACTTATTTGTATTTTATCCCAAACAAATTCCGATTATTTTCCTAATAACTGATTTTTTTTTTCCTTATTTAAATTTAACTTATTTATATTTAATTTAACAATTCCACTTAATGTGGATTATTTACACAACCGAATTTGTTTTTCCTTATTTAAAAATTCGATTCAAAATTATGTTTCAATCTTTCACTTAATTTGGATTCATAACAATCTTATCCGATTTTTTTGTTCCTCACGCTTAAAAAATACGATGCAAAATCAAAATCTTATCCCAAACAAATCAGATTTTTTTCCTATCTTGTGAGTTTTTTTTCCTTATTTTTAAAAAAACTTCTTTATATATATATATATATATATATATATATATATATATATATATATAAAGAATTACCATTTTTTAAAAATAAAAAGTCAAACTGTGGTCAAATATGGTTGAACATTAATTGCATGCTATTAATAGAAAGTTTTTATTTTATTTTTTATTTAAAACGTGCATCATTAATTATTGCATTTAATGTGGAGTTTGTTATTTATATTTGTGCAAGATTAGATTGTTCCTTTTTTATTTTCACAAATTAAAAAAATTAAACTTTCTTTAACATATAATCCTGTACCACATTGCAAATTTTATTTTATTAAGAAAAATAAATTACGCCTAATTTAATAATATAAACTTACTTTAGTATTTACAAAAAATCAGAAACACTTTTAACATCAACTCGGCTACTACAATTGTTTTAAAATGACGCTTTTATTTATTTTAAAAAATAAATTACAATTCATTTATTTGGTGGATTTGGTAAATTACCGTTCATTTAAACCTCTAAAAGATAAATTGGTGGATTTGGTTCCATTAAGTTCTAAAAATTTCGATTATTGAATATAGTTTGAAATTCAAAATCTTTTCTCATATTTGATTTAAAAAATTCAATTGTGTTTTTTATTCTAAACAATCAGATTGCCGAAAAAATTACCTTAAAACTTTATAATTTCATTTTTTTAGGCTTTAATTTGCATGAAATTCAAAATGGTTTAAGAATT